GGTTTTGCAGGTTCTGGTTCAGCATAAACTGCACGATAATGCGTGAGGTGTTTACAATGTTCATGACTGCTGTCTTGAGCTGAGCAGGCTCCATGCTTGATGTGGTATGGCATCTGCACCGTTCACCCAGGAAAAAGGCACGAAACGGTTGTCTGCCGTTGCTTCCCTGGAGAGAGGGGGAGGAGGAGGATGTACCCAGGACCACCTGCGACAATGTTTTTGGCCCCATCAAGCATTGGGATCTCAACCCAGAATTCCAATGGGCGGAGGAGACTGCGGGAACTACTGGATAGCTATGGGATAGCTACCCACAGTGCAACGCTCCGGAAATCGACGCTAGCCCCAGTACATGGACGCACACCGCCGAATTAATGTGCTTAGTGTGGCCGCATACATTCGACTTTATACAATCTGTTTCCAAAATTCGAATTCTGTAAATTCGGATTAATCCCGTAGTGTAGACATACCCTTAGAGGGAGATAGCTATCCTGATAGAACAATTCTTCTGTCAACCTAACCCTGTGTACACTGGGGGTAGGTTGGCTTAACTACCTCGCTCAGGAGTGTGGCTTTTTCACAGCCCTGAGCAACGGAGCTGGGTCAACTTAACTTTTTAGCATAGTCCTGCACTAAGACTCAACAGGACAGTCCCTCTGCTGGTGTAAATCGCCATAGCTCCAATGAAGTCAAATTCCATTGCAAAAGCAAGAGCCCAAATAGACACTGAAGGATACATCTACATTTAAAACCGATAGTGATACAACTGCAGTGATACAGCTGTGCTGCTGTAGCACTTCAGTGAAGACACTACAGCAATGAGAGGGGTTCTCCTGTTGCTGTAGGTAATCCACCTCCCCCAGAGGCGGCAGCTAGGTTGACAGAAGAATTCTTCCATCGACCTATTGCTGTCTACACCAAGTGGTAAATTGGCTTAACTAAGTCTCTCAAGGGTGACGATTTTTCACACTTCTGAGAGACGTAGCTATGCTGATGACGTAGCTATGAACTTCAGTGTGGACCAGCCCCTACACTCAGCATGTACTGTGTCCTTTGGGTCCTTGTTATTTATGGTATGCCAGGTTCCATTAGACTGCACTCTTATCTCAGAATTACTGCAACGGTACGTTGTGACTGGTGGGCAGGGATTAACTCTGGTGTCCTCTGCCAAAATTATTAGAAACACTTAAAAGCTTTATTGACTTTTCCTTTTTTGATATTACAATAAAACAAATTAATTCAATCATAGGACCCTGGGTTCAAGTTGTTACTTTAATGATCTGACACAGGCTCACAAATGCAGATCAGGAAGAAATTATTTTTTCTCCCTAACCCTCTCTCTTATCGCCCAATTTGTTTCCTTCTCCTATTTTCTTCCATGGTATTCCTTATTTCTGCACCTCTCTCTCACCCATGGCCTGGTGCACAAGGCAATCACCCTCTCTTCTTTCAAACCCCTTCTTCCAAGAGTCAAACCTATGTTAACTAAGAAAGAAACGTGTCATGCACTGATCATAAAACTATATTTAAAATCCATACTAACCTATACAACAGACCATGCCCTGGGTTTATTTGTCTATCCACTTAGATCACATGGTCCTTGGAGCAGGGACTACCTCTTCTTCTGTGTTTTAAACACCATTGGTGTTTAACAAACAAATAAGAATACTACAAAGAAATTCAGATCTTATGCTGAGATTATCCTGAACTCACCTTCTTATGATAGAGAGTCTCCAAACACAGGGTACTCATACAGTCTGTGGCCAAATTCTGCCTTCAGATGTACGTTGATGGATTTCCTCTGAAGGCAGAAGGTGGTCCTATCACTATTTACAGTTTTAAGGAGAATATTTCAATCTCAGTTATGAATTCTGTGGCTTATTATTGCAATTAACCACTTGGTGGCACTGACATACAATATCTGAATTTATATATAGGCAAGTACCGGTAACTACATTACTGGTTACTTTTATTTTCTATTAAAAATAGATACATATCAATCAAATATTCTTTTCTTGTATTAAGCCTCATTTTTATTACATTGTCAGCTTTGATTTATGTGAGCAGCCAGGAATCACACATGAATGGTGTGGAACTGAGCATAATTAAAAATCAGGTCATAGAAGTCTTAAACTGGGCACCCAAAAACTAAGGACTACACTCCAATCAGCTTAGTCAAAAGAGAAGTTACTCACCCTTCTCACTAAATGTAATTCTTCAAAATGTGTCTCCCTGTGGGTGCTCCACTTCAGGTGTGTGCACATGCCTCATGTACCTCTGGTGGGAGCTTGTCATTAGCAATGTCTGTTCCGCCCACACATGCACTGTTGATATCCTTGTGCCCTGCACTGAGGATATGTCAAGCTGTACTAAAGGGATATGCTATGGGCAAAGGGGGCACAATGATAGGATTACATCTACTTAACCAACAGGGAACTCTTTGTCCAAATGCAGGGAGACAGGGTGAGAAAGAAAATGCTGACCTTGCATGAAGGCATTGCAACACAGCTAACTATTATGGTGCAAATGTCTCTTGTAATAAACACAGGATTTCTGACCACTTTGTAAAAAGTAGTTTTACTAGACACACAAAGAGCAGCTTGACTTAATGCAGTTCCTCCTTTGGAAGGGAGACAAAAATCTTAAAAGTTGCAATAACGCTAGCAAGTAACTACACAAATATTACTACCATACTTTCCCCACATACGGTTGCATATTCACTGGGCTTAAAGAAGGTAAAACAAAGGAGTGGCCAATAAAGTAATTCTTTAAAAATTCTTCTAAAAATCAGAAAAAAGTATCTAGTGAAGTAAGTGAATGGCTGGACAGTTGCATAGCTCAAAGAGATAAGCAATACACAATAGGATTAGTTGCCATAGTACTTAGAAAACATGGATTCCTATATTTTGACATTTGACACCCAATGAAGAAACTTTTGCTCAACAGTATCTAGATGGAAAAGACTAATTTAACATAAAATGTGGAAGCAAAACTATGTCTGACACAAGAACAATAACTAAATTAAGGTTCTCAGTCTGAAGTCTAATATTTTATGAAGGGCACATCTTAAGAATACAGTTCAGTAAATGACAATGAGGGAAGTGAATACCATGCAAGGTTTGCAACAAAAACTATAGACTACTTATAGGTTATATATACAATTTTCATTTGCAGAAAGTATAGGGAATGGGAATTATTATTTCTGACCTACATGAACGGCTGGAGAGTACCCACAGGAACAGCAAGTTTCATGCAGAATACAGCATTAGTGACAAACAAGAAATATTGCAATCTTCTTTGCATCCAAACATGGAAGGCAGTGAACAGGAAATTATTTTTATATTAATACTGATTCAGTATTCTTTATTTAAGAGAAAGTGGAAATATAATTCTGTTTTACAGAGTACACCAGCTTAAGATTGACATTTTGATACATATAGTAACAAGTGTAAGGTTAAAACTCATACACAATGAAGTCAGAGCAAATATATTACAATTTGATTTTTATATTACTATTTATTGAAGATTTAACCTTCAAAAACGGTGGTTACTGTTAAACACATTCCCTCTCCTCCCAACTTCAACTAAATATTGTTTTCCCCCTATTATCCCATTTCTCTTAGAAGGAGATATATCCACAATATTACAAAGAGAAATCTTTCTCAATAAAAGGCAGGACTTTTTAACAAAAAAGCAAATACTTTTGAGTGTATATGTTTTCATGTTGGAAGTGAATGCCTTGATCATAAAGAGAATTAAGTTTTGCTTTGGCTGTTGTTTCTCCTTATCTCAAAAGGAAAACAATCCCCTCTGGATAAATGTAGAAATCTTTATTCGCACTTAGTTCAGATAATATGCATGCTGTGCTAGGAGACTGATACAAAAACATCCCTGGAGAAAGTGAGTTGTTTCAATTCATCTCCTAAAACCTCCACAACTATCAAACAGGAAGTATGGATATTTTTATCACTTAAAATATATAAACTGAACTGAATATGTACTTTTATTTAGATCATTCCCTTTAATTCTTTGGACGTTACAAAAAACCTAAACAAACCAACCACCAATAATTTTACCATCTCTTTTTGGGACATTAAACTAAAGTCCAGTCTGATTTTACAATTTACAAAGACCCCAAATGCCACTTAAAGACATGATATAACCCTTTATTAATGTCATTCAGGATACCACACAACCTCAATTAACCAAACTTCTCAGAAGGACATTGGAAACTGTTGAATAAATAGGATTTTGGACAAAAGAGGAAGCCAGGCTATCACCTTGGAAATGCTGTGCTTTAAGTCCCCAGCACTGCATTACAGTCAAGAGGGGTTTTAGGCCAGCTTGGTAGACTGGTGGCCAGTTTGGTAGAGTGGTATCAAGCTTTACAAAGGATTGGGCTATGGGTCCCAAGCCCTGAAATGCAGTAAGTGAAGATCCCGATGATTTCTCTATATGCAATAGAACCTACAGGACACTACTGAGGAATTTATAATAATGGAGTTTGGGTTATGCCTGATTCTGGGACGCAGCTGAGCTATGTTTTATCTCAGGAACGGGGGACGCGTGGGGGGGGAGGGGGGCGTGAGTAGAGGTGGCTTTGAGGCATCTTTTTAGCTTCCTTCTCCATCAATACTGAAGCTAGCTGGCTGCTGGTTCTTTGTGAAAAGCAAAGCAATCTCAAGACTGCTTTACTTTATGCTGACTACCCAGGGGCCATCCCTCCTTTCCCCGAAGGCAGTCCTGGCAGCTAGGGCTTGTTGGGACAAAGACACAAGTGTATACTGCCAAAAGACTCCTCCACACAGATTCAAATAGCACAAAGCAGCCAGAGTGCAGTCTAGGATCTGGCCATATATCTCCTTATTCAGTTAGGATACCTCATTTTGCACTACCACATTTATGTCATGTTTTTATCAAGACACAAAATATGTGACATTTATTCTGTACAAGTCCCCATAGCTACATATATCAACAAGCTTATTTATTCCTAGCTCACTGACCTGATGAGGCACAAGCCCAAGAGAGGTAGGTGGTTCATTCATTCTGTCATCACTGCTGCTAGCAACAGCATAACCACTGGCAAAAATCAAATAAAGAAAATTAGAACAAAAGACTAAGCCTAAGGCTGGTGGAAAATCATCTTCTGAAATGTCTGACAGAAAATGACATACATCTTCACAAAACATTTTTGTTAAAAAACCAAAACATTCAGGTTTAAAACTGGAAAACCTAAAAAATTGCAGAAAACTGTTGACCAAGAGAGAAAAAATTTTCAAAATTTTTCATGAGGGGAAAAACATCATTTCCAGACCATAAGAACATAACATAAGAACGGCCGTACCGGGTCAGACCAAAGGTCCATCTAGCCCAGTATCCTGTCTACCGACAGTGGCCAATGCCAGGTGCCCCAGAGGGAGTGGACCAACAGGCAATGATCAAGTGATCTCTCTCCTGCCATCCATCTCCATCCTCTGACAAACAGAGGCTAGGGACACCATTCCTTACCCATCCTGGCTAATAGCCATTAATGGACTTAACCACCATGAATTTATCCAGTTCTCTTTTAAACGCTGTTATAGTCCTAGCCTTCACAACCTCCTCAGGTAAGGAGTTCCACAAGTTGATTGTGCGCTGCGTGAAGAAGACCAGCTCTAAGACATTTCCTTCCATAACCAGCTTACGCTTTAGAGCCTTGATCTTGCAAGGGAATCAACTTGGAAGCTCCCTTTCAGACTCAGCACAGGCCTGCAAGGATCCCTTTCCAGCATCAGGGTTTCAGAGACATATCACTTACTCAGACCTAAATCATAACTTCCTTTATTTATTTTTCTTTTCATAGATTTTAAGGTCAGATGTGACTATTATGATTAGCTAGTCAGACTTCCTGCATAACACAGGCCAAAGAATTTCACCCAGTGATTTCTGCTTTAAGCCCAATAACTTTTGGGTTAAGCTAAAAAGATCACAATTTTTTGGCTTACAATGAAGCCCCTGATGGGCTTCATAGCAAATAGTTACGGTAGGTCCTCATTACAAAGAAATATGCAGCGGGAACACTAAGATTAATAGCAACAATTTTTTTCTTACTGAAATGTTATGTTTTCAATACTTCTTTTAAAGATAACAAATGCACAAAAGCAATAGGCAAGGCAAATGTCCTCACTCTTCAAACAAGAACGTAGCAAATTTTTCTAACCAAAAATCTAACTCTATTATTGTAATAATGAAGTCTGCATTGCATGATATACCTGTATATGTTTATTAATATTCAAAACTTACGGGACTCCTCTAAGTCTACATAATGTGTAATAAAAGATACCGGAGAGAACTGTTCCTTCCCCAAAATACCTTTTGTCCTGTAAACACCTCCCTTTCCCCTCAAATATGACTCACCCTTCTGGATGTTGTAAAACAGAAGCCATTAGCTCTACTGCAAGGGCTCCAGCTATCATGGCTAATCCTGGTCGACTGACTGTGCACTGCTGATCCAATGTCCGATCCCTGGTGGACTACAAAGAAAAACAATTCACACACACACACTTACTTGAAAGTACTTGGCTACTCCATTGCACAAGACATTTTTAATACCCGTCATTCAATGAATACAGGGTGGCAATATCTCTCTGAATATCAGTAAAAGGGATTTGCTATAAACATCACTTACAGCGACAAATGAGGTTTCATAAAGGGATAATTTTTAATGCAATAAAAAACAAACAACATGAAATGGGTCCACATTAACTATTTGCATAAAGCTCTACTCACATCTCCCGGTGCCACAACATCATTGCAGAAGTAGCAGCCAAGTTTATAGCCAGGGATGTTTGAAAAGAGCGATGATCCCAGGAGATCAGCAGAGCCGGAGGCATTGTTGGAACATGAATCACCAGACTCCTGCTGCTTTGGTTTCTTTAGTCCATGTCTCATCACAACAAATGTGTCAAATCCCAATGCAGCATTGATGACCAGCTATAAAAAATAAAGAGGAGCACATGTAGCCAAAGAAAAAACAGCTTATATGTTTTGATAATTATGAATAGAATTTTATTCTTACAATAAAATACAAACCACAGTTAACTGTTAAAGAATGCCAAATCATGTATTTAATGACCACAATTTTCTCCATACAATATATTTTCAGAAATACTATCTGCAGTTAGATGAACAAATAAAAACAATGCATCCCACTATCAACATGGACATCAGGCTTAATGAAGTGAGTTGAATTGCAGAAATGCTGTGCTCAGACTTGGTGGGGATTGAGTTTTCTGAAACGGTAAACAATAAACAAGGTTCTCTATGGAAGAAGTTGTGTATATTTGTGTTCCGAAAATAAAAGGGGAAAAAGTGTAAAAATATACCTCCCCCCCCTCAAATGAGACATTCAGAACATAAATACTGGGTCAAACCAATGGTCCATTTAGCCTAGTATCCTGTCTTCCGACAGTGGCCAATGCCGGATGCTTCAAAAGGAACAAACAGAACCTGGCAATTATCAAGTGATCCATCTCATGATCCACAAGTCAGAGGTTTAGGGGTTGCATCCCTGACCATCTTGGCTAATAACCAGTGATGGTTCTAACCTCTATGAACTTATCCAATTCCTTTTTGAACCCAGTTATACTTCTGGCCTTCACAACATCCCTTGGCAACAAATTCCAACAGTTGACTGTGCACTGAGTGAAGAAGTACTTCCTTTTGTTTGTTTTAAACCTGCTGTCAATTAATTATCTCCAACTTGGAAAGGGCTCTTGTATGATCCAATTGTTTTAAAGTATTTTTTGAGAGCCTGAGTCTTCTGTATGTCAATTTCTATTTATATCAAACACAAGCATAGATATTTTATTTAAGAAAATGTTTGAAAAGGTGTGATTTATGTGTCTGCCTGTTTACAAATACAGCAGCCAGCTTCACATCCAGATTGCATCAGTAGCCATACATTTGTATACATGTTTTCAATTTATTGTTTATTTACTTTACGAGAACTTTAGCAGGATTCTTTCACAAACTCCTGGCAAAATTAATTTCTGACTTGTTGAAACAATTGAGCTGGATTTAGAAGTGATATAAACTCCCTAACAAGGTGATTATCATTAACAGTGGGCTAAATGCTGCCCCTCATAGGTTCTTCCTGCCTAGGAGTGGAAAATTCCAGAAGTTTCAATCCTGGTAATTCAGTCCTGGAATTTCTTGGTAATTCTTCCATCAGGGGATGGGTTAGTCCTTCCTTCACTGCTTGCATTTCCCAGAGGCACAAGCATACTGTGACAGGACAAGGGACGATGGCTATAGCAAAGTAATGGGAGACAGATATATTAGCCACAGGCTAAACAAATCCCTGGTACCAGGATAAGCAAATGGCAGCTGCTCCAGGTCAGTTAAGACACCTGAGGCCAATTAAGATCTCTCCAGAAGGCAGGGAGGACAGCTAGGTTGATTGGGACATCTGAAGCCAATCAGGGGCTGGCTGAAACTAGTTAAAAGCCTCCCAGTTAGTCAGGTGGGAGTGTGTGTCAGGAGCTGTGGGAGGAAGCCGCGCTGTTGGAGAGACTGAGCAGTACAAACCATATCAGGTGCAATGAAGGAGGCCCTGAGGTAAGGGTGAAGTGGATCTTGAGGAAGTGGGGGGCTGCTGAGGGGAAGTGGCCCAGGGAATTATACGTGTCCTGTTTCTAAAAAGTCAGCTACCATAGCTGATACTATTAGGGTCCCTGGGCTGGAGCCCGGAGTAGAGGGCGGGCCCAGGCTCCCTCCTGTGCCCCCCGATTAATCACTCAGATTGGGAGACAACAGAGACTGTGCAAGGGAGGTAGCTTCACCTCACCTCCCTTGCTGGCTAATGATGAAAATGGCTCAGTAGGCTGTGACGCTTGCCTTTAGAGAGAGAAGGGCTACCCGGAGGGTCACAGTGAGCCTCTGAGGCTACCGAAATCCGCCACGAAACGCGGGACCCAAGGAGAGAAGGACAGAGCTTTGTCAAAATACATGCCAAGGCTCCTTGCTTACATGCTGCTACCCAGTGATCCCAACTTTCAATTGTCTCTGGCCACTGTAGCTCCTACAGGAGCTGCACCAAGCTCAGTTGCTGTTGCCCCTGGAACTTCTCTCAGATGGACTTCCATATTTAAAAAAAAAAGGAAAGCAGTGAAATTCAATTTGCATTAAATTGTTCTTGCTTCCCCACAGGTCCTTTTGTGGACGGGAGACAAAATTCTAGTAGAGTCCTGCCAACTTCCTTAGGGGAACGTACCATAGAGGAGGCATTCCTCATATCACTACCTCCAGCAGAGACAGACTGCTCTTCACTTAAGGAACTGGGGAGAATTGGGGCATTTATAAACTAATGTAACATTTATAAATTTAGGGCCAGATTTTGATCTCACTCTAGTGATTATCCAGAGTAACTCCACTAAAGTCAGCGGGATTACTGCAGATCTCACTGGTGTGACTAAGATTGAAATCTGGCACAGTAGCTAAAGAACATCATTTGGCTCTAACTCACATTGTGTTTTCAAGTATGCCATATGTTTTTTTACAGTAGGTTCAAGCAAGAGCTATTGAAGTATTCTGAAAACTACTTAGGAACAGTAATTATTTGCAAGAACAGTCTTTCCTTTCATTTGAAATACTATTCAGTATTTTCATTTAATTGTGATTTGAAATGTAACTCATTAAACACTCCTATGTGAAAATAGAAATGCAACACAAAGCAATCTGTCATCCAAAAAAGAGAAGTTCTGATGAACAATGCCAGTAATTACCTATTTAAGACCCTCATTCATGTAGAGTCAGAAAAGGAACCCAACACTCAGGAGAAGATGGTTACTTACCTCTTGTAACTGTTGTTCTTCAAGATGTGTTGTTCACGTCCATTCCAATTAGATGAGTGTGCGTTGTGTGCATGGATGTTGGAAACTTTTTCCCTTAGCAGCTCCCGTTGGGACAGCAAAGGAGCCCACTAGAGTGGCGCCCTTATGGCACTGTATATAGTACCCTGCCGGCCCGATTCCCTTTCGATTCCTTCTTGCCGTTGACTCCGACAGAGGGGAAGGGGGGTGGGTATTGTAATGGACGTGAACAACACATCTCGAAGAACAACTGTTACCAGAGGTAAGTAACTGTCTTTTCTTCTTCAAGTGCTTGTTCACGTCCATTCCAATTAGATGGCTTCCAAGCTGGCCATCAGAGGTGGGTAGGAGTCAAGGAATGATTGACTAGAGGACAGCCCTGCCGACCGCTGTATCATCTCTGGCCTGTTGGTTGATGGCATTGTGGGCTGTAAACGTATGCACTGAGGACCAGGCAGCTGCTTTGCAGATTTCATGGATGGGTACCCGCACCAGAAAGGAGGTCGAAAACACTTGCGCTCTCGTCGAATGGGCTGCAATTGCCGGAGCTGGGACCTTAGCCAACTGATAGCATGTGCGAATGCAGTCTGTGATCCAGGACCAGATGCGCTGAGAAGATACTGGAAGGCCCTTCATTCTATCGGCTATGGCCACAAACAGTTGGGTTGATTTGCAAAAAGGCCTCGTGCGCGCTATGTAGAACGCTAGGGCTCTTTGAACATCTAGCGTGTGCAAGCTCTGCTGCTGCGGGCTCATGTGAGGCTTTGGGGGAAAAAACACAGGCAGACAAATGTCCTGTCTCATGTGGAACTGGGAGACCACCTTGGGGAGGAATCTAGGGTGCGGTCTAAGTTGCACCTTGTCCTTATGAAATACCATATAAGAGGGTTCGGAGGTGAGAGCCTTTAGTTCAGACACTTTCCTCGCCAATGTAATGGCCACCAAGAATGCTACCTTCCATGAAAGGTAAAGGAGGGAACAAGTGGCCAGGGGCTCGAACGGTGGGCTCATGAGCTTGGAGAGGACCAGGTTCAGATTCCAGGTTGGTACTGGTGATCGAGAGTAAGGGTACACCCTCTCCAATCCCTTGAGGAAACACACCACCATGGGATTTGAGAACACCGAGTGCCCAGATTCCCATAGATGGAAAGCTGAGATAGCCATCAGGTGTATAGCCATCAGGTGTACTCTGATGGATGAAAGCGATAGGCCTTGTTGCTCAGGTGAAGCAGGTAGTCCAGAATAACCGTGATAGAGACCTGGAGCATCTGGGTTCACACCAGCAGGAGAACCTTTTCAACTTGGCCAAGTAAGTTGACCTAGTGGAAGGTTTCCTGCTGCCAAGAAGTATGTGTCTCACTGGCTGAGAGCACTGGCTCTCCATCAAGTTTAGCCATGGAGCTTCCAAGCCATGAGGTGCAGGGACTGTAGGTTCGGGTGGAGAAGGCGCCCGTGGTCCTGAGTGATCAAGTCCGGATACAGGGGTAGGGCTACTGGGGCATCTACTGATAGTTCAAGGAGTGTTGAACCAATGCTGACATGGCCAGGACGGGGCAAGCAGGATCACCATTACTCTGTCCCTGCGTATCTTGAGCAAGACCCAGTGGATCAGCGGGATTGGAGGGAAGGCATACTTCAGGCCCTCTCCCCACTGCACTCAGAATGCGTCGGAGATGGAGCCCAGGCTGTGATTTTGAAATGAGAAGAACCGAGGGCACTGTTTGTTGTCCTTGGTGGCGAACAGATCGACTTGGGGATAACCCCACTTTTGGAAAACTGACTGCAGGACATCTGATTGGACCGACCACTCGTGAGCTTGGTAGGACTTGCTGAGGCGATCTGCCAGCTCGTTCCTCACCCCGAGGAGATAGGATGCTTCCAGCTGCATGGACAGGGCTATATAGAAGTCCCAGAGGAGAAGAGCTTCGTGGCAGAGCGGTGAGGAGCAAGCTCCACCCTGTTTGTTTATGTAGAACATGGCGGTGGTGTTGTCTGTCAGGACTGTCATGCTGTGACCTTGCAAAGTGGCGTGAACATTTGACAGGCCAGACGAACCGCTCTGAGCTCCTTCAGGTTGATATAGAGGGGTATCTCGTCCTGCGTCCACAGACCTTGTGTTCT